GAGCACTATCTTTGAATATTCCCTTTCAGCTGTTAACTGACATTCTTTGATTTAAGTTGTCACCAGACATGGTTCTAGAGTGCAGAACAAAACATTTATAAGAATTGCTTTCATGTAATCCTATTACTCAGGAAGCTGAGGCAGGAGGATCACCATGAGTTAGAGGCCAGCCTGAACTACATAGTGAGACCCTGTCTAAAAAAAAAAAAGGCCAGGTCTGGTAGAGCACGCCTGTAATCCCAGCACTCAGGAGGCTGAGGCAGGATGATTGTTGCAAGTTCCAGACCAGCCTGGGCCACAAAGTGAACTGAAGGCCAGCCTGAACTGTAGAGCGAGATCCTGTCTCAAAAAGATTAAGAAAAAAAAAAAAAAAAGAATAGTTTCCATGACACATTTCCTTTAAACCACAGAGGAAAAATAAGAATCAATACTGACCAGAGGAGGAAAACTAAACATTCTCATCGTCATAAATCATTTCTGTTTTCTTAGCAGTTATCTACCATATGTCTAAATGTTTTTAATGTAGGGCCGAAATATAGCTCAGTGGCATAAGTGCCTGCCTGGCAAGCACAAGGTTCTGAGTTCGATTCCTGGTACCAAAAAAGAAAAAAATGTTTTTCATGCAAAAGAGTAGTTAAGTACTATAACTTCATACCAACAAAATTTTTACTCGAGACAAGGAAAGTGTGGATTGCTTCCGTTTGTGGTGGGATCTGCAGATGCTTCCTGTTGCTCTGTCCAGAACTATGTTAACATCAACCTCAGAGAGGCCGTTAGGCCATGGGGGGGACGAGGCAGTAATCATCATCTCTCCTGTATGAAGGAGGGAAGACTTACATCACCTAAAATTTGTGAGCAGTAAACTCTGAATACTTCATGCAGTGGTCACTGAGGATGGGTTAAATTATCTTTCAGTTCCTGCAGTCTGTGTCCATCTCTCAGAAATGAAACTAAGAAAAAAATTGTAGAGCTGGCCTTGATGGCAGGACATCCAGCCACTCAGGAGGTTGAGGCAGGAGAGTCACTTACGCCTAGGAGTTCCAGGCCAGCATGGGCAATAGAAAAAAGCCCCATCTAAAAAATAATTTTGTGCTGGGGGTGGTGGTGCAAACCTGTAATCCCAGTACTCAGGAGGCTGGGCAGGAGGATTGCTGCAAGTTTCTGATTTCAGCAGTTAACCACTAATGTCCCCTTTTTTCCCCTTTGGTTTCAGATAGGGACTCAGTCTTTCCTGGTCTTCCATGACCTTGACATGTTGGGAGAGTGCTGGTCTCTGTTTTGGAAAGTGTCTTCTACTTGGGTCTTGTCAGATATTTTGTCATGATTAGATGCTGGTGGCATATTTTTGGTAAGAATAGCAGATGTGATGACCTATCCAAGAGTATGAGATGTCAAACTACTGCCACTGTGGCAGGGGTTTCGCCCAGTGGTGCAGTGCCTGCCTGGCAAGTGTGAGGTCCTGAGTTTGATTCCCAGTACACGCCCTTGAAAAGAACCAAAGTACTATTACTAAATGTATAGTTCTCTGCTGCACTGCAGTAATGAGTTGCTACATACTGAGCAGCTTTAAACAATGCCCATTTATTATACAGTTTCTGGAGACCAAGCCCAGGCCAAATCTGGGTGGTTCTCTGGGTCTGCGTGCGGCTGCACAGGTCAACATCAGGTGTCTGCTGGGCCGAATCTGGAGCCAGGCCCTCCGTGGAGTTGGCCTGTCGGGCCCGTAGGTCACAGGCTGAGTAGTTTCCTGTGTGCTGGCGGCTGGGATCCCTCTCAGCTCCTAGAGTCACTCCTTCTACAAAGGCAGCAGAATTCTAGATAAAATCCATCCCATGCTTCACTTCTCCACTTCTAGCCTCAAAGTTTAAAATGCCTGTATAATTAGGCTGGGCCCACACTGATAACCTCCCTTCCTTAAAGTCACCTGTGCTGTGTAACATAATTAATCACAGGATTAAATCCTCTGTCACTTCTGGGTGTGGTGGCTCACACCTATAATCCCAGCACTGGGGAGGTTGAGGCAGGAGGATTGCTGGGAGTTGGACGCCAGCCTGGGCTCTAGAGTGTGAGGAGCACCTGAACTGGTGACCAGTCACAGGTGCGGAGCTGAGAGCACTGAGCGCCCAAGGGATGCCCTGAGGGCATGGAGCGCCCCAGGTGAACAGGTGTTCCAGGCCCAAGAATAGGAGGGGGCATGAGGTGAGCCAGCTAGGCAAAGGGCTTTCACCTGCCATCAACATACTTATTTTTTTTTATTTTTATTGTTTTGTCTTTTTGAGACAGGGTCTCGCTGTGCAGTTCAGGCTGGGCTTGAGCTCACTTTGTAGCTCAGGCTGGTCTTGAACTCGCAACAATCCTCCTGCTTCAACCTCCCACTCGGGAGGTATTACAGGCATGCGCCACCACGCCCACCCATCAACTTTCTGTCCTTCCCCACCCCTCCAGCCCCAGGAACTTTGAGAGCTGAGCTGGAGGTGGCACTATATTGAGTTCAGGCCCTGTCTCAATTGTTGTTGTTTTGTTAGGGTTTTTTTTCTCTTAAAAAAAAAAAATATCCATCATTATTCAGGGCAGAGTGGGAAGGAACAGGAATCTGAGAATTTTGCCTTCCACACTTAGCTTGGTGCCTACGAACATGTTTTCTGGGTTTGTCTACTACGAAATCTGGGTTTTTCCACATATATATAGGTAGATAGACAGATTTTTTATAAAGGGTCTTGCCAGGCATGGTGGTATATGCCTATAATCCAGCACTGGGGAGGCTCAGGGAGCCTGGACCACACAGTGACTTAGAGGCCAGCCTGGACTGCGTAGCAAGATCCTGTCTCAAAATGAACACATATATACATGCGTACGTACTGTGTCTTTGTCTTTGCTCTGTAATCCGGGCTCTCCAACTAGAGATCCTCCTGCCTTGACTGTCTGAGTACACAGATTAAGGCCGGCACCACCATGTCCAACTTTTCCCATTTGTTATTACAAAATAACCTTGAAGGGTTATACTTGGAGATTATACAAATACAGAAGCTGAATTTCTCCTGACCCTTCTGTGTGCTAATTTCAACATTTATCCATAGAACTGTCTGTTCTCCATTGTGTATTTTATCAACATGGGTTCTTGGATATATTATTTAGGAAGTTATAATCCAGCACTGTCATTTTGTTGTTCATATTGTTCCAGCGTTGGCCTCAGAATGCAGTTCTTTCAGGTTGGTATCTGCTCTTCTGCTGCACCTCCATCCTTTACCTTCTGACACCATAAAATGCTATGGATTCATCCTGTACTTTTTTCCTGCCCCAGCCCCAGAATAAACCCCTCACCTAAGTCTATCCAGTTTTAATCCAAGAGAACCAAAAGTTGCTTCTGTTGCTACAATACCTAAGAAATTACCACGAATGTAGTGGCTTACAGCAGTACAAGTTTTTATTTGACTGCTCTGAGGTGAGAAGTCTGAAGTGGGGCTAAAGTTAAGATGTCAGCAGGCTGAATCTGGAGCCTGGAGGCCACTGGGATAATCCAGACCCTGTTCTTCCAGTTTGGAGAATTCACCTGTATTCTTTAGCTTATGGGCTTTTCTCCAACTTCAAAACCAGCAACATGGAATCTTCCAGTCTCCCTCAGACCCTGATCCTTCTGTCTCACTCTTAGAAGGAATCTTCAAATTATCTCAGACCCACCTGGATAACTTGGGATCATCTCCCCATTTTAAGATCCTTAGCCACATCTACAAACCCCCTTTCGCTATGTAAGGTAACCCATTCACGGGTTCAAGGTTAAGGCATGAACGCCTTTGAGAGCCACCTTTCTGCCTTCCACGTGACCAGACTTGGATCAATGGGACGATCTCCACCTATGATAGGCCAAAGGAAATGAGCCTTAGTAACATGCTGCTTTTTCACTTTTTCTTCTTAGCCCAGTGAATGGCTTTTTAAAAAGCCATATATATTTTAACATTCGTGTAATCCTTTCTAAAGGTAGGTGTTACGAATCCTCCATTAGTGGAATGCTGTTATTTATCCTCTAGCAATGGTGAAGAACTGCTGGTCCATCTGTCCTCCATGTTTGTCACCAAAGCTCAGATTTCACCCAGTCATAAGAGCAATCATTGGGATAAGCTACAATGCATATGTCTGCTTTCCAATGTATATTGACATTGTTGGTTGGGAATTGCATTACCAAAGCCAGATAAAAAAATTCAGATACTCTCAATTAGACTTGATGGTATACACCTGTAATTCCAGCTACTCCAGAGGCTGAGGCAGGAAGATCAAAATTTTGAGGCTGGCCTGGGCAACTTAGTGAGACCTTGTCTCAAAGAAAATTTTTTGGTAGAAACTATAGATTGAGCTTTGGACCTTCACAGCAAGCTGTATTTTTAGCCTTTCTGTTTCTTGTTTTTGATTTTTATGGTTTTGTTTTGTTTTGTTTTGAGACAGAGTCTTCCTAAATCACTGTCCAGGATGGACTTAAACTTGTGGCCCTCCTGACAGCCTTCCACAATGCTAGGGTTACAGGTGTGTGTGTGCCACCATGCTCAGCTCTCAAGAAATGTTAAATGTTCTCTTCACACTCTTGGCTATAACTGTGCACTTACTTTTTACTCATTTATTCAATGAGGAAATGTTTATTGACTGACGGTAAGACACTACAATAGATACAGTGATAAACACGAAGGTATAATAAGCCATGATTCAAAATATGTGGAAACTGCTTTTAGTAGCTGAACATCAGGGTGTAATTCAAGCATCTGATCTTTATAAACTTACTGTGTTGGCAGACATCATGGTTTATGTCTAGCATGACCCCCCAGAAGCCTCTGTGCTCATGGGTGGGGCTTGGCAGAGGGGACTAGATTCCTGGCTGACCTGCTGTTAGGGGCAGGGTCCATGCAAGGAAAGGGTGTGACCTGAGCATCAGGTGGCTCCCCGCCTGCTCCCTCTCTCTCCTCCCCTCCCCTACCCTCCCCACCTATCTGGTACCAACAGCTTCCCTCTACTAGGTCCTGCCTCCGTGTCACCAACCAAGCAAAGGACTGAGCCTTCCAACCTGGGAACCAAGGTAAACCTCTCCTCCTTTATACTGTGGGTGAATGACACTGTGCCTCAGCCATGAGGAAAGTCACTGGCACTGAAGTCGTTTCCAAAAGACTCCATTGATGAGAAATAAAATGTTTGATATAAAATGCTGTGTGTGGAAGCCGTTTCTTTCTCTCCCAGTACTGAACAATAGACTGGTTTCATACTATGTCACCAGATTCTCAGAATCTGCTTTTTAAATTTCTTCTTTTTAAAGATACAGTTCCTAGAAGAATTTCATAAGGTTTAGTATGATAATGGCAGCAATGCTATTACACATGACCTTCTCTCCGATGCTGTACACATTTTTCAGGCTTGCAGACCATGCTGTGTAGGAGGTGTGATCATCACCAGTGTCCCCATTTCATAGATGATAGTACTAGAGATGGCACAGGTGCCAGGCAGTGGAGCCAAGATTTAAACCTGGGAAACCGGCTCCATGGCTGGCCTCTTTGCTACTCAGATGTTGCCACCTGGCAAATCACATTGACGATGGGGATTGCTCCAAATTTTGCTATAGCTTGAACATTTTTCTCAACTTTGGAATAGAGTTGAACCTTGAAATTTCAACAAACTGTGAAGCACACTGGAATGGAATTTTTTTATTTTTTGAGACAGGGTCTCACTATGTAGTTCAGGCAGGCTTTGAACTTACTATGGAGCCCAGGCTGGCCTCGAACTGAGGGTTCCTGTGGGTTCCTGAGGGTTCCTGTCTCACCCTCCTGAATGGTGGACACCCGGCTGGAATGGAAATTTCAGAAAAGACTAAATGCTGTACAGATTTAAATGTACATTAAAGTCCAGCTATACATGACAGCAAGACCCCAGGACATCACAGACTCAAGGTCAAACTTGCTGCTGTTGAAGCTACCTCTTTCATGGAATGATGGGGTAGAATGCAGTGTTCAGCATAACTTTTTCTTTTGTTTTTGTTTTGTTTTTGAGACAGTCTCCCTATGTATTTCAGGCTGGCCTTGAGCTCACTTTGTAGCCCAGGCTGGTCTCAAACTCACAACGATCCTCCTGCCTCAGCCTCCCAAGTGCTGGGATTACAGGTGTGTGCCACCATGCTCGGTCAACTTCTCAGAATAAGGTGTAACTACATATTCTAGTGCCTGTTTTACCATCAGCAATTACTGTCTTATTTGGGAGGACTGCTGTCAACCTAGGCATTCCTTCGCCTGTTCCTAGGAAAGACATGAAAGAAAATCTTAGGGCAAATAAATTTTGGCTATCTAGTGATAGGGTTTGGAGTTTTTGTTTGTTTGGCTTTGTGCAATTTTGAGATAGTCTCCTAGTACTGTTCTTTTTTTTTTTTTGGTTCTGTAATCAAACTCAGGACCTTGCGCTTGCCAGGCAGGTGCTGTGTCGCTGAGCTCTATCCCCTGCAAGATAATCTCATTATATAGCCCAGGCTGGCCTCAAACTCATCGATGCTCCTGCCTCAGTTTCCTGAGTGCAGAGATGACAGGTGTGTACCATGATGTGTCCCCCTAGTGATATTTTCTTCTTTTCCTCTTTTTTTTTTTTTTTGGTCTTTTTGAGACAGGGTCTCACTATGCAGTTCAGGTTGGTCTGGAACTCACTTTTGAGGCCAGTCTGGCCTCGAACTCACAATGATCTTCCTGCCCCACCTCCCTAGAGCTGGGATTACAGGCATGCACCACCATGCCCAGCCTATTTTTCTTTATTTGAAAGAGAAAAATAAAATTTCAAAAGAAGATAATAGGGTAGCACTGGTTAATACATTGTGTATTGTTATCTTAGTTACTCAGAGTACAAGATACAGGCATTGTCTAAACAGTATTAGCACAAACCTTTCTTTTCAATGAACTAAGAGAAATAAGTTTATCTTAACTATCATATATATATATATATATATATATATACACACACACACACACACACACTTTTTGTTTTTTGCTTTTCCCTTTTGTCCTTGCCCCCATCTCAGTTTGTCTTTCCTTTGGAACAGTTTCTTCCCATTTTACAATATCTGTTGTACATTTTGGATCTTATTTACTATATCAGCTTCTCACAGTAGGGAGACAATATGATGTTTGCACATGTGCATCTGGTTTATTTCACTTATGAGTATGATCTCGAGTTGCATACATTTACCTGTAAAAGTCACCAGTTTATCCTTCTTTATAGTTGAGTAATAGTCCATTGTATAAAAAGACCACATCTTTTTTATCCATTCCTCAGCTGATAGGCATTTGGGTTGTTTCCAAGATCTAGCTATTATAAATTGTGCTGCTGCTGGGCATGGTGGCACACTCCTATAATCCCGGCACTCAGGGAGGCTGAGGTAGGAGGATCATTGTGTGTTTGAGCCCAGCCTGGGCTACAAAGTGAGCTCAAAGTCAGGCTGAACTGCATAGCAAGATGTTTTCTCAAAAAGACAAAAAATGAAAAATAGATAAATTGTACTGCTATAAATATGGGTGCATATACATTGCTGTGGTACAATGTTTTTAATTCTTGTGGGAAGATACCCAGCAGGGGAATAGCTAGATCAAATGGAACCTCCAATCCTAGTTTTTTGAGGAATCTCTACACTGATTTCCACAGTGGTTGTACCAGTCTATACTCCTACCAACAGTGAAGAAGCGTTCCTTTTTCCCGACAGTCCCTCCAGCATTTGTTATTGGTTAATTTCGTGATAATAGCCATTCTTTCCAGGGTGAGATGGAATCTGTGTTGTTTTAATTTGCGTCTCTTGAGTGACCAGTGATGTTGGACATTTTTTCCTATGTTTATTTGCTGTTTGTATTTGTTCATCTGAAATGTGTATTCATCTCAGATGCCCATTTTTGGATTGGGTTTTTAAACTTGGGAGGTCTGATATTTTTGAGGTCTTTATATGTTCTTGAAAGTAATCCTTTGTCAGAGGAACAGCTAGCTGGCAAACATTTTTTCCCACATTGTGGGTTGTCTCTTCACTCTTGGTGGTTTCTCTTGCTGTGCAAAAGCTTTTTAATAAGATGGTGTTGTTGATTCTTTGTGATAGGCAAGCTGGGGATATAGCTCAGTGGCACAAGCGCCTGCCTGGCAAGCGCAAGGTCCTGAGTTTGATTCCCGGTACCCCCCCCCCCAAAAAAAGAAAAAAGAAACTGATTGGATTCTTTGTGATAGTTCCTGTGCAAATGGGGTTTTAGTCATAAACTCTTTGCCTGCACCAATGTCTTCAAGAGTTTTGCCTATTCTATCTTCCAGCAGGTTTAATGTTTGTTTTAATATTTAGATATTTGATCCATTTTGAATTTAGTTTAGTGCATGGTAAAAGATATGGGTGCGATTTTAATCTTTGGCACAGGCAGAGCCAGTTTCTCCAGGGCCATTTATTAAAGAGGCTATCTTTGTTCCAGTAAATGTGTTTGGCACCTTTGTCAAAGATAAGGTGGCTTAGTATGTCTGGAGTTGTTTCTGCATTTTCTAATCTGTTCCATCGATCTTCAGGTATGTTTTTGGTTTTGTTTTTGTTTTTTTGGGTTTTTTTGGCCAGTACCACTGTAGCTTTATACCATAATTTCAAGTCAGGCTTGGATTGTGATGTGCCTGGCCTCACCTTTGTTGCCCAGAATTGCCTTTGCTGGGATTACAGGCATGCACCACTATGCCCAGCTACCTGCTTCTTTGTTGTGCTTTTAAATATTTGTGTTTTTAAACCTGAACCTTCTGATGTTAACTCTGATTCTTAGGCTTGAGCCCAGCATTGGTTAGAACAAGCCAACTGCTCACCCATGAAATAACTGCTAACTTTTCCCTGTATCTGTTTTTGGGTACTCAACAGATTTGTACAGTTTTATCTCATTCTCCTAAAATCACTCCAAGAAGCTGGGCATGGTAGCACAAGCGTGTAAGTTTTTCTACTCCAGGCCACTCAGTATAGAATATTTTCATATTGAAATTCATAAATATTTACCAACCATGCTTTGTATTGTATTGTATTGTATTGTATTGTAGTCTCTTTAGAGATACGGTTTCACTATGAAGTTCAGGGTGGCCTTGAGCTCCCTTTGTAGCCCAGGCTGGCCTGGAACTCACAGCAATCCTCCTGCCTCAGCCTCCTGAGTGCTGGCATTACAGGTATGCGCCACCATGCCCAGCTCATCAACCATGCTTTTTTTTTTCTTAATTTTAAAGAAAAAGAAACAAAATTCCAAAGCAATATAATAGGAGGGTAACAGTGGTTAGTATACTGCAAATTGTTATCTTTAAATTAGTTACTCAGAGTATGAGATATAAGCATTTAATTGTCCAAACAATATTAGCACTTAACCATGCTTTTTAAAAAGCCCTATATATTGAAATAATTAGCTTGGCATGGTGGCACTCACCTGTAACCTCAGCACTCAGGATGCTGACACAGGAAGATGCCACAAATTCGAAACCACCCTGGGCTCCATAGTGAGTTCAATGCCAGTCTAAACTACATAGCAAGACCCTGTCTCAAAAATAATAATAATTTAGAAAGAAAGGATTTCCATTTACATCCATATTTGTACAAATCTGAAATTTGGGAACACCCAACAAGAAGGAATATTGTTCGAAATAACTGAAAGTTTTGGAAGAAAATAGAAGGTGAAATGTAAGATGTTATATAATGAAAATATACATAATCTAAATAATCATCCGCATTAATTTATACTATAACGACGGTAAGTTTATCAGCATCTACATGACTTCCTATGATAATTACTGAATTCCTAAGTGATCTTTGGGTTGTCTATCCACAGATTTAAAGAAACACTGGATGACATCCTAAAGAGTGAAGAACTTGTACAGCATAACAATAGAAGAGGCTTAGTAGTCAACAGCAGAGCACAAAACTGTGTGGGAATGAGTGCTTCCCAGTGGACATGAACTGCCAGTGTTAAGATGGTGAACAAATGGGAAAAACTAATAATTATGATTGCCAGAAGAGTAAGGATGATACAGTTAACTGGCATTAGGAACTTACCTGATTACTGATCACATGGCTTAGTAACTGAAGGAAGGTCTTGCTGGTAGTGAACTCATCATTTAGAAAGGTGAGAAAAGGGTGAACAACAACTTTAATATATTAGTTTGGTAGGGACATAAAGGACAGAGAAAGACTGCA